TGGTCTCTGCTTCCCTGTAGAATTTCTCGCAATGTTTTTCAGCCCTGCTGCGGGCATAAAGAGATTCTGTACATATTTTCACAATATCCTTTAGAAAAATGTTCCTCTGCAGGGTAGGCTTTTATAACTTAGTGTTGTCTTGGATAATTCACCAACTAGATTTTTAGTAAGAAATGTAAACAGGCTGGTCTGTTTTGCCTAGGTGATTGCTTGCCTTGTTCCATAGTAAGTAATCAACCAAGAGGTCTTTGGTCACGATTTGTGGGTATAATAGATGAATGGCACCCAACGCTTCGGCCCTTCAGGCCAGCTGAGTGGTGTGGGGTCTGTCTGCAGGCAAGATCCCCATGGTGCATGGGGCCTGAGCTTACGTGCCAACCTGGTGCCATACGCTGGCCTGACCTAGCATGCAGAGCAATGTTATCCAGCCTGCAGGGCCTCCATTGGGTCCAGAAATTTGGGTGCGTCAATGCTGCCACATTTTTTAACCTGTGGGGAGCCTCACAGGCTGGACAACACAGCTCAGCTATATTACCCCTGTTATAGAGCTTCAGGATAACAATAATCTCACAGATGTGCCGTAACAGGAGCCTTACAGCTCCTCTGTCTACCTGGCAAAGAGAAATGAATAAGGGGCCTGACTGGTGTTATTTAGAGCAGTTTATCAGTAATTTCCTAAGTGCAGGCAAGTTTTATTGCATTTACAGCTGAGTGATTTCTCTGAAGATGACATCCCATCAGAAAAGTAAGTAGCACAAAAATAGAAAAATAAACTTTTCAAATAAATTTTGTTGTATGGTTAATGTTGCCCAACAGAGCTGAACCCTTGTGTGTTTTCAAAACTCTTTAGGCTTTTAAAATCACTGAAGGCTGCAGGCAGAAAGATAGAAGCTTATTATATAGGTAGAGCTGTTTCTGATGCCTAAGATTGCCCAACCCTGTGTTCCTGTTTTCAGTTGTTTATAAGGTTTGGGGTTTTTTTACAAATTTAGCCATTTGGCTGAAATTTCCTATGCCAAATGCTTGCCTCAGGCTGTTTTTTGAAAGTTTCAGCAGAAAATATTGTTGGTGGCACATTTACAGTGGTGTTATAAATAGCATCATAATCTATTCAGTATCTTTAAAAGGACCAGCAATACAATGGAAACAGTTAAGGTGTATGTTGAGGACCCAACCCTGTTCCATTAAAGTCATTAGGAAACCTTCAGTAGGCTTAAATTTGTTTATAGTCAGGGTATAGACAGACACAACTATAAGCATCAGGATACTGATATAAGCCCGTACCATTCAGCTGTCACTTCTGCATGATTTTGCAGGAATACAAGTGTAGCAAAGGCACTCCATCTTCAACCCTCCTACACTCAGGGTCCAGGTTAGGATGATTTAACTCCTTTGTATCACTACAGGATCATGCAGATATAAGTTATGGAGTAATAGTTGATACATGCTCCTGAGCAGTAACTCCCCTTCCTGTTTTAAAGCGTCTAAAATGTATGTTTGTCCAGATCCTCAAGTTTTGCTGATCTAATAATGATTACAGAATTCTGCTGGAACTCGTGGAAACTTGAAAAGTCTATGTGACATCTCTCTGAATACCAAATGAATGCATTACCACCAATGATATGCAAATTAATCTATTGCTTTAAATGTAACCTTAATATGTTATTTACTTCAGCCAGTCCACCACAGAAATGGGAGTTAATGACTTTTAACACCAGATCAGCAACATTCTTAAGTACGTGTTTTACTTTAAACATGCAAGTAGAACTGTGTACTATAAAATCGTGTGCTGCATTGGGACCTTTCTAACTTTGGGAAAATTTAGGGGGAGGGGAGAAATCCCCAGAAACCACCGTACAATATACAAGGAAAGCAAATTTAATTTTCTACTAACTTTGTTTGTTACTGGATCCAGCTACAGAGCTTTGGGTGACTGCAACAAAGACAATCCTTATTTGTAACCTTACTTTCCCCCATCCCTTCTTTTCTTCTTTATAAGCTAGGGAAATCTCCCTCATTCGGTTTATGAAAGTCACCTATTTATGTGGGAAACATAGGCCTGGTTAGGATTCATACTAGAACTAAAGGGCTAGAAAAGTACATGCATTGAGTTCTTCTGTTAGGCAGTTATGATTCTCTAACAATCAGTCTATTCTATGTCTACTCTGTTTACCAGAACTGATTGGACTTGAAATTTTCATTCTATGGGAGATTCAGACCTTCAAAAGGCAATGTCATTCCAAATTGGAACAAGAAACTTGAAATTAAAAAAGAAGATTTTGCATTTATTGAGATATTTTAATTTTGACAAAACCAGTGTTTCATTTTAGGTTTTTTACTTTTATCAGTCGGTTTGTTGATTGGTATTATGAAAGGTAACTTTTCAATTGGTTATTGATATTCTATTGGGTATTGTCATTGGAACCTGGTATCGTAAATTGCCATAGGAAATTAGATTTCAGTGATTACTTGATTTCAGTGAGGGCCAGGTGCTTAAATACCATTGAGGATTTGGGCTTTAAAACTTCCTGGGACACTTTAGAGGGGTCCTCTGCCTTTCACAATTGAGGCTATTCTCCTGTTTGTAAAACTAAAATAATTATGGTAAAAGCATTTTAAGTCCTATGGTTAATTTCAGCCTTGGTGTCATTCTTACACTTGTGTGTAATGAAGTGCATAGACATACTCCACTTATAATACCAGCACTTATAATGACCAGTGATAAACACTACAATGCTAAGAGTGAATTGCACCTGTCTTAAATACAATCTTTTCCTAAATTCTTGTCAGGGTACTACCAGTCTTTGCACTGAACCTGCATAAATATAGTGAGATTGAACTGGGGTGAAAGAGGATAAATGTTCCTCTAAGTGGTAGATCAGTGGAAAGTAGTCCATGTATTTTAGAAATGCAGACTTTCCCAAACGCATAATCCATTCCTTGTGAAAGACGTGTGATCCAATATAGAATTTTTAGGTCAACTGATTCTGTTGAAGATTAGCTTTAATATTCAGAAACAGAAGACTATAGTTACTCATGGCTTTTAATTCTTGACAGGGGATTATAAAGGGCACAATGCTACCATTACATTGTAAAACTCCTCTTTGGTTTGGTAAATTAACCTTTGGGGGAACTTGGGACACTCTAGTTAGAGGATAATGTATAAGTTGCTTTAAGTGGCTGGGAGAATTT